CAGACAATTGTGTAAACAAACAAGCAAAAAGCCCGCAAAAGCACTGTTTTACTTTCCAGAAGAGAACAAAACGGGCATCGCACCTACCCGTATTATTGAAGAAGATGGCGCATTTACTGAAGGTAGACTTGTAACAGTCAATTGGGCAGGAGATAGAGTGCCAACTGAAATATTAGCTGTAAGCGGTGAGTAGGTTTGTCTTCTCTCTTTGGGTATGACGAACAGCGGAACATTTTATATCACACGAATAGCTAACACTTAAAAACGTGAGTCCTTCCAAATTGACACAGTTTCAAGCTGATAATCAACTTTAGTTAGTACCTCTCTTGCCTGCCGACGCAGCGCCACAGTTTCTTTAGAAAATAATAATTTATGATATATTAGGTTAGGCTGCCATCACCTACTTTCCTTTATACTTACTAACAGTTTTCCATTATTTTTAGATGACGAAGAAACATTGAATCAGAAAGATTTGGAATGGATGAAGAAAAACCTGCCACCAGAGAAACCGTGTGAAGAGACCCAGTTTAAGAACCAGAAGAAGACAGTCGGCAGAAAACAAAAGGTAAGAATTTTTACTTCGAATCGCATGTAGTTAGGGCGGAACTGGCAGGGGCACCCAACGGATCGTTTAGGTAAATTATCTGNGAACTGGTTTGGTGACAATGTATGTTCTGTTTAACTGCTGCTGATTGTTCGATCTTTCGATGAAAGGCTGTTTCAATTACAACTGCGATGTTACCGCTATCAATTAATTGTCTGTTACTTTGTTAGCTGCATTATTCGAAATTGCTTCCCAATTGTAAGTTTACTTAGTAAACTGATTTTAAGTTTTGTTCGCGGATGAGAGCAGACTGCCACAAATTCTTGTTTTTTTGCTTCGAGTGCATGACTAAAAAGTCTTGTTTGGGCAAACCAAGTTTTACATTAACGCAGCTTCTATAAATTGATGACCCAATAAGAATGCGTGAGTTGGCAATAGACCTAACTGCTTATAAAATTCCTTCAGTACTCAGTTAATCGTTATCGTCAACTTTCTTTATGAAAATGACACTCATAGCAATAAACAAACATCTAAACAACGGGGCGGCAAACCTGCAATTATTATTATTGCAAACTAATTGAGTAAATCGAAGTTTGTTGTTGGAAGACGAAAGCGTATTCTTATGATCGGTGTGGACTAAATTTACCATTTCATTTAAGTCTTGTTTGCAGAGATATGTTATCGTAACTTGAAAAATAAATCGAAGTTTAGCGTATAGGGAGCGTATCTGTTTGTTGTATCTGTTTGTTTTTTTTTTTTTCAATTTATATAAAAATTGGATTAGCGCACTTTGAGACTTGTCAAATTTTATCGCTTGCTCATCCTTAGCCTGCTGAACAGGCAAATTAGCGGAGCGGACTGCGAAGAACTTGTTCTCTGTCCCGCTAATCCCCCTGTTCTGCAGGCTAGCTCATTCTAGTAGGCTGACTTTTAAGTTCGAAATCATTTCTTTTATGTTGTTTGCTTTGAGACAATCAAATTTCAAAAGCGCATCTTAGGTGCAGTCCATACTACGAGGGAGAAATTTGAAAACGCAGCTTCATCTCCACGGTCAGGCCTAGTTACCATCCACACCGTAATCCGTCACGAAAACTTAACTTTTCGAAAAGGCTTTTCAAACCGCAGGAATTTGGAAACGTTGGCTTTGCGTTTTAATGTGGACTAGAAATATTTTGAAAATGGAACTTTTCGAAAACGATGCTTATACAACACAAATCGATACTGGCGGGTGATTGTTGCGCTTTCAGATTTCTCCGGCGTAGTGTACACTAAAAATACCTGACACGTTTTCAGAGTGAAAACGCCGTTTTCAGATTTCTTTTGCGTAGTGTGCACGGGACCTTATTGAAATAACTTGTGCACGGCGAAGCGCGTGCAGTTTGTTCCATTCCCTGTCTGAATAATTACGCAGAAAGTGCCTCCAGTTTGTAAACACGGTGTCATCTGTACAAAAAAATGACCTCTGTATTTTGTGTTAATCCATAGAGAAGCCATAAAAGAAGCCGTGAAAGAGAGAATGAGAGCAGGCAACAGAAGAAGAGAAGCAAAAAGGTCAACCTTCCACGAGTTGAACAACCAACGAGTCCAGACGCGGCCGCCACTCGTCGGCCAGTTCAACAAGACATTCAACAGTCGCGGCCTCTATACCAATCTTCCCCACTACCTGAGTATTGCTGTAACTTCCGTTCAGACGTGTTTGGTGACGATTTACAGGAGCCGAGTACAGTGGTCGCTAAGCTTGATCAAATACTACGCAATCAGAAAGTTATGATCTCTACAATGTCTCAATTTCTAGTTTGGACAAGAGCACTGAGAGCAAGTAAAGAGAAAATGTAACGTGTAAGGGGAGGGGAGGGTTGGCTCAAACGTCTACAACATAATTTTTATTCAGTTATTCATTAGGATGTAGTTAAACCTTGTAAATGATAAGGATAATATATATTGTAAGAAGTGCTTTGCTTTTAGAAATAAAAGCTGTTGTGGTAAAGTTTATAATGTACTGGTATGGTGTCTTTAGGTGTAATACATCACCTACAGTGGAGCTCAGTTAATACGGACATAAATTTATAAGGGCCCGGGACGAACTCCCATACAAAAAGGGCGGGGGTGCTCGTTGGAAATTTTGAAGAGAACCCCTAAGAGGTACCAAAATCCTGTTTTGTGGGTGTGGAATGAAATGATCTCACCCCTAAGAGGCACCAATTCTAAAACAACGTATTACCTTCTGTCACCTTTTTTTTTTTTTGGTTCCATACCCTAATAGGTACTGCAAAAGCTGCAAAGAACTTTTGAGGCTGAACACCCCAAGAAGAACCAAAACCCCTTTTTAATCCCTAAAGGTACAACAAGCACCCCTGTCTAAGGGTGTCCGTATTATCTGTGTGTCTGTATTTAGTGAGCTCACAGACTATAATAATTATTAAACCAACTTTAATACCTTACTGTGACTTGAGTTCAAAGTGAGCAAATGACTGAAGACTCAAACACGTCTCGCACATAAAAGACGCAAAAAAGTTCTCTCGTCAATATAAATTATTCATGAAGTTTCAAGACTGAATCATCTGTGATGGGGAAGACAGACAAAGGATTATAATTCAATGTTACGTTGTCTTTTTAAATCCACCTCCTATAGTTACAGCTGTACCTTCTTTTCCTTGATTCCTTTTTTAATGAGAAAAAACACCTGATCTCTCTCAAGCCTGTACACACAATTCAACAAAGGTTCAGTAAAAGTTATTTTTGATCACTGCAGAAGATTCCCCGGATTTAATTGATTTAAACTACAATTCAAGGAAGGCCATTGTGCCACTTATTTACACTGCATTCAGGATCTCGTTGATAAAAAGTTCAATGGCAAATGTAAAATTAATTTTTGACTCACTTGGAGTAATATAGTCTGCAGAAAGAAGGTTTTCCGTCCCGTCCAGCTCTACCTGACTCTTGGTAGTAGCCTTCCATTGACTGCGGCAAAGTCCAGTGTACAACAAACCTAAGACATGACAAAGAGGATTGAAAATGTAACAGATAGGTTGTACAGCATGCATAATTGAGACATCTACGATGCCTGGTACAAAAACAATAATATTAGAAATACTCAACTGTAAGGCAGACAATTAAGATGGTCTGTTAAGTGCATCAGGGAAAAGCAGACACCTAAATAGGCGATATTCATAACTGCCATTCCCTTTTGAAAAGATTCTCTGCATTAGCCTCAGTTGCAAGCTACACTGTAGTTACAGTCTAATACCGAGAATAAGAATATTGTCTATTGTACTACAAAATTAACCGCCTAATAAGTCTGATAAGATGTTTACCTGACAGAAGCTTTGTCAACTCCCATACCAAAACTAACTGTGGCCACAATAACTGCAACCTTTCCATCCATCCATTCTTGTTGAATCTCATCTCGTTTGTCTGGTTTAAGACCTATGGAAAACATTTGCCGCATTGGTTACATGTATAAGTGACCTGTAGGACGTGTTCTTTCATGTATGTCAGGGAAAGCAGAAGAAATTGGAAATCTCGGGGGACCGAACACAAGCCCGGAACCAATGGAAATGTCAATTCCGCAATTAAACAGCATACGGAAACCGGCCACGATATACATCCTATTTACGCCAACATTCTTGACACAGGTGTGAGTGGCAAGAACAAAGGCTGTTTCTGGATTCCTTGCACTCTTTCTTAGACAAAAACTCCGTAAATAAAAGAGCACCCTTCCCAAGGGTTTACACATNAAATTTAGAGACAATTTTACTTTTTTAGATCTGTTTTAAACGTTTTTTAAAGAACTATGAGCACAGATCACTCAACAGTTTTATTTACATGTATAAGTTATGATCTACATGCCAGCCCCGCATCATGTATTTTATTCATTTTTATTATTTCTTTTATTTGCACAAATCTGTATAACAATAAAAAACGTAAAAAAAATCTAAAACTGAAGTGGCAAGTAGACTTAAATGTACCTTCTCTTATGGTTGACAACCGAACAAAATGCAAGCTGGGTAATACTCAATGCTGGTCATATTCAATGAGCACGTGATCAACTCAAAGAAATTCTTAACAGCAAGCCAGGCTAACTAACATGAAGTGTGTGGTGCATGAAATTTACAAAATAAAAGGGTTTCAAGAGAGAACTACGGTCAATATACTACACTTTTATTTGATAAAAATTAGGACCTCTTACCAGCATGATAAGCCTTTGCCGTGAGTCCTCTTCTGTTCAGTCTTGATGCCACTTCTTGACATGCATCTCGAGTCCGACAGTAAATAATACCACTACCCTAATGGTCAAAGAATAAGGTCATCAACTGCAAGAGGAATTGTTACATTATTATTTCATTCAAAATATTCACAACAGAACTTTCTGCACCTACTTTTTTTGAAATAATAAATTATTTATATATAATAAATTATTTAAGCCTGGTGGTCCTACCTCGTCAAAATTATCATTCTTTTATAATGTCATTTTGAAATCATGAACAAGAGCTAAACTAAAAAAGATTGGCTGCTTGAATACATCACTATCAGTAATGGTTACCTTCTCCCCCTGACTGCTATCCTGTTCTGATAATGCTGAATCAGCAAAACTCTTAAGGTCTGAATAAGGATCATCAAGGAGTTCTTTGAAACTTAAGCAAAAATATATATATTAAATAAAAAAACTGGGGATTTGGTCAGGTAGATAAATAATATTTAATTACCGGTAATGATATGACTGAGAAAATTACTTCTTGTGGTCCTGGCTGAGAGCAGACTAATTTATCGGTAATTTTTAATTTGCACGGCAGTGCAAATTAATGAGCGCTCATCATTTTTACTATTTATAATATTCAACCTTATTATTAATAGAAAATATTTTCGACACCCTGTAAAGAAGGGGATGAGCAAGATGACAGAAGATCAAGAAAATGCCAAACTAGTTTTAAATATATTTGTACATACTTGATAGTAACTAAATAATTAGAAGAAAGCAAAATGCTGGTTAGAAAATTAATCTTCTCCCCAGATCTAAGACTCTTGCATCTCTGCTAGATGTAGTTTGCAGACTTTGTCTTAATAACGTTTATGAGTTTTTCTAAAGTTTAAATTTTAATATTAAGTACACAGATGCTATAAAATTAGTCAGCTCTACATACCACACATCATAAAATAAATTTGGTCGATAACACGTAGTCTTGAAAATTGCTGTGGGCTTGTGAAGTTGAAGGGATGTCAGAACATCCTCTTGGACATGAGGAGTAGCTGTAGCTGTAAGTGCTGCCCAAGGAATATCGCTAAACTGTTTTCTTAATGAACCAAGCTTCAGGTAATCAGGTCTAAAATCATGTCCCCACTGTGACACACAGTGAGCCTCATCCACAATAAAGAAAGATAAAAGCTTTCTCTTGTACAGCGAGCTTAGCACTTTTTGAAATCCAGGTGTTGCTGCAAGTTCAGGAGTAATATACAAAAGCTTAATTGATGGCTTCAGCGTTTGAATTTCTGAGTAGACGCGCTTTCTCTCAGAAGCTGACAGTTTTGAATTTATTGTTTCAACTTTTATTGAGAGCGATTTTAAGTGCAATACTTGATCTTGAATCAGAGCAATCAGTGGAGAAAATACAACTGTTATTCCCTTTGCCAAGACTGCCGGCAATTGATAACAAAGAGATTTTCCTGATCCTGTTGGCATGGATACAAACACGTCCTGTTTTCCTGTTTGGAAAAAAAATTTGACAATAAATAATTAATAAAATAAATAAATAAATATCTTAATTGACCACTCCCCCAATGGGGCTTTTCAGGACCAATGAAACTAAATGATGACACAAATGATGCAAATGAACATAACATGTTTAAAATCCCAACTGGCGAGAGGCAGACTAGCTGGCTATTTACAAGCATGACCAAGGAGTTGAACAAAGGTCTACTGAGAAACAACTCCAGTTAAGTGGTTAGAGTGGGACTTCAGCCCGCGACCTCCAGATTTCAAGTCTGGCACCCTAACCACTTGGCCATGCTGCCTCCGCATTGTAAATTAACTGGAGTTCCATGGTACATACATGAATGAATCAATCTGACTAGTGAACTCTCCTACACACTGAGAGATAGGAGGCTCCAGTCACTAGAGGTTGAGTTTCCATACTACCTAGAGTTTCCTATGTTTCTCTGCACACAAAGTGGAGGACAGCTCATTTTTTCTCTTTTAGGGTCATTCCCCTATCCCACCCTCCTCACTTCTGAAACGTCCACCCACTACCCCCCCCCCCCCCCCCCCCCNGTCATTCCCCTATCCCACCCTCCTCACTTCTGAAACGTCCACCCACTACCCCCCCCCCTCCGCAAAGAAAATTGCTGCCACCCTCGATCCCTTAAAGCTCATTTAGCTTCTAAAAATGGTATCTTTCTTGATTTATGTAAGCTTACATCAACTAAAACAAAACCGTGTGATAGTATTTAGCCACGATAAGCCTGAAATAAGCCTAAGCTAGCTAGTTCAAGCTCTTTAAATTTTTCATTTTTAGCTTACCTTCATGAAGACACTCTACTGCTTCCCTCTGAAGTTTCGACTTAAAGTCTTTGTGCTTAAAGACACTCTTCAAAGAATCAGATAAAACTTGTGTCGCCATTTTCTCAACTAAAAAATATCATAAAAGAATCGACTCCATACAAAATTCCATTCAAGCTTCCGCCATGTTTTGAAATGTTCGGTTATCTTCGGTCTCCGAATAGCTCACGTTTGGTTCTCCGAACTAATCACGAACATGAAACGATGAAACAAAGAGACTAAGACCCATGCCTTTGGATTATTTACAAGTCGCGGACAAGATTACGGGTGCCTGGGTACGTATTTTTTGTTACCATTTTTCGTTGCGAAGGGAACAGCTGCGAAGTTTCTACAGCTGCGTAGTCGCTATATGGGGTATATGATGTAAGCATATTTTCACGGAAGCTAAATAAGCGAGGTCGTATTTGATGTGAGCAAATTTCCGTGGGAAGCTACGTTGATTGTGCTGCGGAGATTGCAATTGAAACCATTTCACTTTTAAACAAGTCTTGAGAAGCTTCTCAACAAGCCCAGCTCGAGAAGATGGATCCTACATCATTCGGAATCGTGAAGGGAGAAGTTCAGCGTCTTCCTCTCAAGGACGACAAAGTGAAAGCCATTGCTTATGCTCAGGGGCATTTCTACGCCGAGCAAGTTGGTGAATTGCTGAGACAGTTCAGTTTCGACGATGGTCGTCTTAAAGGGCTTCAAGCTTGTGTGGGGAAGATGCTACCAGCCACTTGTGTGGGAATTTTCCCGATCCTCAGAGCTTTCTCCTTCGACAATAACAAAGTTCAGGCGCTGGAGCTGATCGCTATACAAATCACGGATCCACTGAACTTCCAGGTGTTCAACGAAGTTATTCCTGTCTTGAAAGACCGTGAGCGAGTCAGGGTTATCATGCAAAGAAGGGCTACTATGGGACCTCCACAAATGCCTGCTCCTATGAATCCCGCCATGGCAGGCAATCCCTATCCATATGGTAGACCCAAGGCGTCTATGGATCCTAATGACCCTCTTTACAGAACAGTTGATAATGCTGTGGGCAGTGCTGTGAATGGTGTATGTTCTGCTGTGGACAGTGCTTGTGGTGCCTTGTTTGGCCGTCCTTCACGTCCTGGTGCCGTCATTGTCCAAAGACCAGTGGCATACAAGACAACAACTACCTCATATGTAGTACCCCCAGGCTCTGGAGTGCAAGTCTTACATGTTCCACCAGGTGCAACAGTTCAAACCATCACTCCTGCTGCCCCACCTGGTACCTACCCTGTTGGCCAAGCACCACCTCCCTACCAACCCTACCCAACCCAGCAGTGGAAATAAACTACCTTGAGATACACTTTGCTCACTGGCAACTGATGCTTCAATCTCTAGTGGTAGTTTATACATTATGTTTCAAAAGTAGTCAATTTTATTGTTTTAGATTTAGTTTACTAACGTGTATATCCCAATCAGGGCTGTCATTAAGAGTGGTAAGCTGTAACACCTGTTACCAGTGAGTATATTTGATAGGCCCTTGATGTTTTGTGTGAAATTGCCTTTTGTAGATACAATTCAGCCACAAATTAACAAGTTTGTAACAGGTGTGAAGATCAATGCTTCAGGTGACTAAAAACTTAATGACAGCCCTGCCAATGGGCAACTTTTGCTCTCTTCATATTGAACTGGAACTTCAACATATATAGACCCCTCTATATATAGCAATGATGCTTGAGCCTTTGAAAATGCAACAATGGGAGATTTCCAGGAAACCATCAGAGGGCATCTGACATCAGCCAACATACAAGTTATTGAAGTACCTTGGGCATAAATTTGTCGCAAATTTTAACATCTTTTTTCTTATCCGGTAGATAATTCAGGTTCTTATCTGGTAATTTATCTGAGAGGTGTGGAAATGCTGTGGAGGGGGGAGGGGGCAGGTAATGGAGTTCTAGCACAACCTAAAGAGTACAAAACTTGTTTATAGAAACTAAAGCAGAGCTATAATAATGTTATTCTGCAGTTTCCTAATGATATAGTATTATTATATCATGTAGATTACATTAAGTGTTATGAGCTCCATAGCAGGAGTGTTGTTCATGTTTCAGAGTTAAAAGACTTCGATTACAGTATAAATCAATTAAGGTGGTTTGCATGGGGCACCACCAGAAAATTGTTCTAAAATGTAAAACACCACAGAAAATTTTTTATCAGTCTCTATATTACAGTGGTTATGTTTTTAAGACAAAGCACTTTGTAATTTACAGCCCAAATCAGTGTCTTGGAAATGTCACAGATGCAATTAAATATATGATTTACAAAATTATGCATTTAAAAAAAATTTACTAGTTTCACATTGTACTGTTACTGATCAAACAAAATAAATACCAGAGATATTAATGAAGAACTAGCCTTACTTACTGTAAATCTGATATTGTTTGCTTTTTGCACTCATGCAGTTTAAATAGAGTAACAGAGGTATGTAATGTGTGAAATAGATTCTGAAGAAGCAATATTAAGTTGCTCTATAAATCTCTTACTCGTGTTTGTCTAATACTGTAGACACTATTTGATGTTGTTTCACTTTTGAAGTGTGTGTTGATTATATTTATCATATGATATAAATGTTATTTGATTTTTTTTTTCTTCACCAACATGCAGATGCAGTATACTAAGTGCTGAAATTTCCTAAATAGAACACTCTAGATAAAGTTGTTATGTAAAGTACAGAAGGATTTAAACTTGGGCAAATGTATTCTTTATTCATCATCCACAAATCTTGTTGTTTGGATGTAACTTTTATGGACCCTTAAAGTAAACAATTTTGTCATGATATCTGTATAACCCTAAATAGAGGAATAAAGAGCAGTACAGTTCTCCAGATCATTGCTTTAAATTTTTTTTCCGTCAGTTTTTGTGCCCTGATTTTCAATACAAGGGTCATCAACTTTATACCCTACAATCCCAGCAGTGCATGGACACAGCCATACATTACAAGCTCCGCTTTTTACGAACGTCTTCAGCTGTCATATATCGCAACTTAAAACCTAACTTCTTTTAGCCACACTAAATTTTAGGAGAATTTGTCACACTCAAGACTGTGTAACAGTGAAAGTGGAGAGACAGGTTTTCTGCATGGAAAAACACTTGTACATTTCCTCTACACATATGGAGATCCTACAGATTACCTGACCTTGTTGCATATGTGTAAGCTTGATGCTTTTTACTTTCAACTTAAATTAAAGTAGCTGTAGATTCAGAAGCACTACTGTCATGCCAATGTGCCAGAGAACGTTTCAAGACAATGACAACAGGGATTTCTTTGCAGATTGAACAAAATACGATGATTTCATTCATACACATTCCCTGCACCTCTGTCACCACTTATACTAGGAAATAATAACTAAATGTCAAAGGAGCATCATCAATAATTTACATAGTGTTAACAACTCATTTGAAAATCATGACACATGCATCACACAAAAATTCCTCAATAAACAGTAAATCTGTACTACTGAAAAATAAAGCACGTCAGCAAATCCACCTGATCCTAATACAACTTTATTTCTTATGATAATTTACTTTCCAGTATAGCATATCAAGTTTGCAAATGTCATACAAAAAAAAAAATAACAAATCAATTTACAATATAAGTTTACCCTATCATCAGAGCTAAATTAAGCTTTCCCAAAGGCAGAAAAAAGAGAAATCTCTTGACATTCAGGCAAGAATAAAATGAAGCTTTACTCACAGGTAAAGGCACTTCAATTGCTCAAATCTCTTTCAGTTTATGTAGAACAGCCATCCAAACATGATTTTTTCAAAGTTCATAAATAAGTCATGACGTTAAACTTACTCCTTTATTTTAAATCTCACACTATATTCGTAGGCTGTTTTCTTTCTTCTCAACAATTTTAAGGAACCAAACAACATCTCTTCATGTTATTTAAAGAAAAAAAATCAAATATTTTTTGCTCTGGTAAATGCAAATTCCACCATTTTGGAAGAACAATATTGACAAGAAAAAGTGGGCTCACTGTTCCATAGCTGGCAAAGTAAATCACTCTTATTCTCAATGGACCATCCACATCATACAAGCATTCAATAACATTATGTCACAACTAAGCTGGCAACTATAATTTGGAATAAAGTATACATTTTTGTAAAGTTATTTCAATCATGCATTTAATTTGTTCTTATGTCCTCAGATTCTGGTGAAGTTCAGGTTTGATGTCATACACAAGACTTAGAAGCCTCTCTATGACCTTGTCTTGATTTTTCTTCACACTCTCACTGATTTGGTCCAGCCTTACACTTGTTTGTTCTTCAATTTTAGCCTGAAAATCATCTTTAGAACCCATGTGCTGAAAAAAAAAAAGTTGTAAATTATGAATCAGTACCTTTTGTTGACTGGAGAACACTGAACAAGGATCTAAGTGAGACACACCATCAGAGCTCATTCCAGTGTCCTTAGTAGTTAGTATAGATTAACTCTTGGATTATATTGCTATGCCTGCCCTTCCCCCCCCCCCNGCTCCCCTGCAACAACGTACTTTGAAAGTGCTTGCCATCTGGGCTAGCAAACTTAGAAACACACCTAACAATGTACCATTCAAACCTCCTCAAAGAAACTTAGACTGGCCCAGGTAAGAAGGCAAGTGCCAATTTGCATCCCTGTCGACCATTATGTCACTGGACCTTCTATGGCACAGAGAAACCCAGAACTACTGCCTAAAGAGTGTATGCTTTGACAAAATATTTACTTACTTCTCTTTGATAATCTATAAACTGTTTCTCACGTTCTTCCCGGTAACTCTTAATTTCAGCCTGGGCTTCCTCTTTTGCTCTCTTGAGCTTCTGTGTTTTACCTGTAACATAATACAAAAGTGGGAGGCGTGGTGGCCTCATGGTTAGTGCACTTGTCTCCGGATCGAGCGGTCCAGGTTCGAGCCCTGGTCGGGGACATTGTGTTGTGTTCTTGGGCAAGACACTTTACTCTCACAGTGCCTCTCCCCACCCAGGTGTATAAATGGGTACCGGCAAACTTAATGCTGGGGGTAACCCTACGATGGACTAGCATC